TTGTTATGCTAATAGGCCAAATCGGGGTACAAAATCATGTCTCTGATTGCAATTTCCACCAGCTCTAGCAGGCAGAAGAAGGAATGTTGAGAGTGGAGGGCCAACAAACCACATGATGCAATTGCCAGACCCAACTATAGTAGACTCATTAAAATCATTTGGGAAATATGAATGGGAAATGAACACTTGTGTAAATCCCATTGCTTCAGTGAGTCTATTGGACATGGAACTGGCCAAAATTGGGAATTGTTCAACTCTCCAGATGCCTATCAGTTGATTGAGGGTCACCCTTAGGACCCAGCTGAGGTTTCCATGTGATCTGCCAGCTGCATGATTCCCCCTCCTGTTCTATGTTATGTCTTGTGTAAAGTAGGCTCTCCTACTTTACTGTGAACAGTACAGTACTGTGAACAAGGAACAGTGATTCAGTTGAAATGCATGAAACTATGACATTCAGGAAACTGTGAAATGGTTCTTTTCATTTGCTTTTATTATAAAACATTTTCTCCCACATCTTTCTATAATACTTGCTCTTTTTCTTTGCATATTGCCTTAATATGCACATGTCTTCTTTATGTATGCATCTTTATATGTTTCTGGCCTAGAAAATTGTACTGCTGAATCTTAGAACTGAAGGAGGGTGTGAATACCAAAGGACAACTGAGTTTACATATTGATTTGGATAGAAAGAGCCATTTTAGTACATTTATATCAATTTGAAAATGGAATAAAATTCTTCCTATGTAAGGATAAAGAACTTCGGCACCCTAGAAGTTCTGATGCTTTTGTAGATTATTTGATTGAGGCAATATACAGTTATAAACAAGTCCTTCCACTGAATGCAGGAACAACAGCATTATTTTCTTTGCAAAAAATTAAAGTCAACTTTTCATACAAACCTCCTCTTCCCCATCCTCCTTCCTGTGACAATCTCACACTGCACTGACAGGCAAAAAGTGCTTGATCAACATCCTCTTGCTCACAAATGGAATTCTATTCCACTTTCCAGTCACAGTAAATAAGACAGATGAGTACTATAAAGAAAAGAATTCAATTTATTCTTCCCTTGGTATATTCTCCTCCCCTCCATTGAAACAGCTTTATAGATAAAAATCATGGGATTGCATCATAAATAGCCCTCCGGTTTCCTATTCGGTTGCACCTCCCATAAGTAAAAAAATAAGCCAAAGAATGACATGATGCCATAAATCATAAGTCCTGCAGTGCTGTTCGTTGAACCAGCTAAGCCTGTGATGTCAAAAACATGGTTTCCCTCTTGTTTATAGTTAATCAATTATTCATACTTATCTACTTAAAACAATTTCTAGGTAAAAATCCTTTGTCTCAGACAAAGTACACAAAGCAGCTGCAACTGGAATATCGCTTTACCTAAAAGAGAAGCGTTCCTTTAACATTTAATGCTTAAATGCGTTATTAATGTGATTTAAAGCAACCTTAAATATCCACAAGCTAAAGTTTTAATGGCATGGGTAGTAAACAGTAAGTGACATTCCAGTTCTGAAATGCAACACAATATTCTGATTTGAAGATAGACTGAGAGAAGAATTTCTTTATATAGCACATTGTGACTCTATGGAATTTGCTGCCACAAGATGATAGCGATGGAGAACAATTTGAATGGCTATAAAGGAGGATTAGGAAAGAAACCCATCTAGAATATAGTTATTTATAGCTATTAACAGTCATAGTGATATATCAGCTGTAGTATAGTGGCAGTGGCTAGGGAAGAACAGTGGGAAGGGATTCTTGCCTTTATGTTCTTTCTGTGGACTGTATTTGGTGGTTGCCAACAGCCACTGCAGACAACAAAATGCTAGGTTGCAAGATCAACCTTTGGTCTAACTCAATACTACTCTGAGGCTCTTCCACACAGCCATATAACCCAGAATATCAAGGCAGAAAATCCCACATTATCTGCTTTTAACTGGCATATATAGCAATGTGGACTTAGATAACCCAGATATTGTGGGATTTTCTGCCTTGATATTCCGAGATAAAGGGATGTGTGGAAGGGACCTGAGTATGTCCTTAGATCAGTGGTTCTCAATCTGTGGATTTTGGCCTACAACTTCCAGAAATCCCAGCCAGTTTACCAGCTGTTAAGGTTTCTGGGAGTTGGGAGGCCAAAACATCTGGGAACCCACAGGTTGTGAACCACTACCTTAGATGTCCTTGCAATTAATATTTCAAATCAGTAAGTGATCAGTGATATTTAAAAACTACAGAGGAAACTCCCAACAGAAGTTGTTTCCAGAGAACGGTAAAATTTGTCACTAGAAGTAAATTTTAGTGTAGGAAAGGTTATACTCTACTTTTAAGTTGCTGTTGCAAGAGACATTCAGAGCATACCCGCCTCTCTAGAACTGGGGTGGTAAAAGATGGATCGAGGATAACTTTTGCCTGTGTGATATGCAAGCCACAACTCTTTCATATGACATAGTATTGTCTTTGGAAACATGGCCGTTTTATTGAATGATCTGGTGGACATGTAGCGATATGGGCAGGAATAAAATGCCATATATACTCATGTATAAGTTGACCTCGTGTATGAATCGAGTGAGTTTGGAGGCCAAAGTTATGGATTTTTGGTATGATCTGTGGATAACTTGAGGGTCATTCTGTGGAGAGAGGAAAGTAGCAATGCCAATTGCCCATGGTTGCTGCTACCATTTCCCTGTCCAGACATTTAAAAAAGACCAGAAGTAGCACCGTGGCAGATAAAGGGGGTAACTGCTTATTTTTTGGTTATGGTACAGTATTACATATCCATGGATATGTCGACTCAATTTTTTTGAGTTGCCTTTTGGACTAAAATTTCCAGACTTATACATCAGTATATAGGGTAAATGCTTTAGGCTTGTGGGATGAGGGGAAAGCAGAGGAATTGGAAGCATTCAGCGCATCTAATGTGGAAAAGATATGGAGTCTCAGAATATGTAAAATAATATTTTATTTCTTAAATTAGTTCAATGCTTTTTAGACAGGAAATACTTATACAGCCTTCTTTAGGGGTTGTAAAAAGGAATGTGCATGTGATACGTATATAACAATAGTATACGTATATAGTAATAGGTGATGCGTACCATCTTGCATAACACCTAATAAAGCATTTATGCTGTGATACCTGAAAACTGCCCCATGTTCTTGACTGGAATGCTGAAATATTGGCCTCCTTCTTCTAAACTTTCTGTGGTCATCACTGAGACACTTGACATGAAAGCTCTGACAAATTAAGAAGCAACAGCATTTCAATATTATATGTTTGGGTGGGCCAAGACAGTATTGGCATCAGCATGACGTGGTTGATGTGATTCCCCACAGAGAAGTGTTGTCCAGCTTCTCCATTTAAACTCTCACTGAACACACCACTTGGATGTTGGATTTCCCCTCCTGTTCATAATGCCCTTAAAGTAAGACATTGTTATTGACCCAAGAGTATCCCTCATAGAAGTTCTGAGACAGCCCACTAAAGTTTTCAATTGGCAATGCGGATACTTCTGAAGCATCATCTTCTTTAGTATGGGGGTGAAACATTGCCTAGGTGTAATGGTCAGCTTGGATAACTCTGCTTCTTGAACGAAGTCACTTGTGAGAGCAGTGCTGGCTTTAATCCTGGGCTGCTATACAATCAGCCCTTCATATTCACCATGGTTATGGATGCAGGACCCCCGCAAAAGTGGGAATCTCTCAAGGAATCTCTAGGTTTTCCACTGCAATTCTGTAGTTAATTCCCACCATAAATTTATAATAAAGTTGATGCTGGAAGAAATTCATAGAAAGATGTTCCTTCTAGCAGTCCCTGGGTTTTCCAGACAACTCCATGGTCACACTGGAGGTTGTAGATTCCTAGAGGCTATATTGATCAAATCTGTGAATGATCATATTTGTAACTGGGGATGTGGTCCTGTATATCTGGGAGATGGTATTAGCCCATCACTTAGACCACAGAGAAATCTGAATCTTTCACATTATGCCTTTATAGTGCTGTGATTCCACTTTATCTGTGGTTGTATCCCATGGGTTGTAGTTTGGAGAAATTAGTACTCCCTTGCTCAAAGGTCTAAGTACTTCTTTCCAAAATGGATATTCCAAAATTCCATAGGCTGGCATTAATGGCATTTAAAGTAGAATCATAGCTCTCTCATAGAATCATAGTAGAAAGGACTCCAGGTCTTGTCTTCCTAGGACAACAAATGTTCTCTGTGTGTTTCTTACAGATGATAAATCTTCCACAAAATCATAACTGAATCAAGTGAGAATCGTTTGCTGTACACATCTCTGAAGCCTGGTCAGATATGATTTTATGTGCCTGATAAAAACATTCTTATGACCTGATTTTCAATGGCTCAAAGAAATGCATTGATGCCTTTGTGCTTTGGATCAGGCTCTTTGTCTAGAAACTTAATCACTAATCACTTTGAACACACTGGCCTTCTTATAATGATAGTAATCATTATTGTCATTCAGTTTAGTAAATTAATATTTGATATGATTTTAATTGACCAACTGATTAAATCTGCAGGTATTTGCATATTAACTAAAGAACTGTTCTGAAGATGAACCAAATTGTTTAAATATTTTGAGGCAGTGGCACAATTAAGGAAGGCCTCTACTGCACATAACAGAATGGAGAAAAGATTAATCCTATTGCTCAAATATAGCAGGATCAGGATTACCATGACTTGAAGAAAGAGAAATAATGTATGCTATCCAGGTGGTGCACCGGGTTAAACTGCTGAGCTGCTGAACTTGCTGACCGAAAGGTCAGCAGTTCAAATATGGGGAGCGGGGTAATCTCCTGCTGTTAGCCCCAGCTTCTGCCAACCTAGCAGTTCGAAAACATGCAAATGTTAAGTAGATCAATAGGTACCACTTCTGTGGGCAGGTAACGGCGCTCCACGCAGTCATGCTGGCCATATGATTTAGAGGTATCTATGGACAACGTCGGCTCTTCGGCTTAGAAATGGAGATGACCACCACCCCCCAGAGTCAGACATGATTTGACTAGACTTAATGTCAAGGGGAAACCTTTATCTTTAACCATATAACAAAGCCTGATGTAATTGAGAACCTAAAATGTACAAATCATTCCACTCTTTTGGGGGAATGCACCCACTTGGCTTTCAGTTCAAAATATATGCCATTAAGATCAGGATGAATGTTAACAGGTGAGCCGGATGTAAGCCTCCTTAGGATCTTGTTCTAATTTGAATTATTCCTCCCCCATCACTCCAACATGGGAGATATTAAATCAGCAACAAAATCTATTGGCGCCAATGGTATTGTTTACTTTCTTTAACCCTTCCACCACATGTCCCTAATATTTAGTTAAAATGGTGAGGGGAGTTTAAACTGCCCATTCTAATGCTCACCTGAATCCAGATCAGGGCTGTGGATGTTTTTTTAGATTCTGAAATGACCAATCTTTAGTGTTCCATATGAGAAGGGAGACTGTTTCGTCTCCATATTTGCGAGTTTAACTTTCACAGATTTAATACGTTCTCTTTGGGAATGTCTAGGTCTTGCAGTAAAACTCTGTGGCCAACTTCCACCAGATGTTGATTATGAGAGTCATGCTGGAGAACCTAGGTATTCCTAGAGAGACATTTTCTCAGGTAAATAAATACAGCATTTTTAAAAATGTGGTATTTCCACTTTTGCATGACTCATGCACCCCAACCACTGTAAAAGTGAATGGCCTGTTGTAATTCTCTTTCCTTAAATGATGCTTGCTCCCTCTAAACTTTGCCAAAATAATCTAAAAATTTAAACATTTTTAATTCTAACAATTCTTTAAAAGTCTGTTCCCCAATGAACTAGGGGATCCCTTTATATTAATTCATTCAAAATATTTTGCCCAGCCTTACTGATCAATCAGCTCACACACTGCAATTCTGAATAACATTACTGCTGGCTGCTGCTGCTTATAATGGCAATGCATCCATTGTCACATGATCACCTTGGTGCCAAAGAAGGAAATTCCAAGTGCAAAGATTTTAAAAAGTTATAAACAACACATCCAAGAAAGCAGAGTTTTAAAGATGTTTCTCGTTGCAATATACATTCATGTTTTTTCCTTCCCAGAGTTTAGACAGTGTGTGTGAACTTTTGCATTCCAAGGCTGGAAGGACAACAGTACAAGAAAATCCTTTTTTTAGAGTGATTGCTATCAGCGTTGGAGATACAGGTGCTTCATCTCAGGCTATTCTATTTTATAGAAATCTTCCAAAGCATGTGGTTCCCAACGATTAATCTTCCAAATGTTTTTGACTTCAGCCTCCAAAACCTCTAATGTTTGGCCACTTCTGGGAGCTGAAGTTCAAAACATTTGTTGAGAATCACTGTTTAAGAACCTGGAGGGCCACCTAAATGGGAGAACCTGTTGTACGCTTAGTATCAAACTCTTTGCAACCCGATTCCTTTGAAATTTTCTGCAGCTTGTGATGCTTTTTGCTCACTGATGGCCTCACAGGAAAGCAATTCCCAGCTCCAGACTGTGGGTTTTTGTTTTGTTTTGTTATGGAGCAAATTTCATAATGGCAAGTCAAAGGTATTCACTGAGCAACTTTAACTCAGCCTTCTATATTTGTATTGTTTATCACTTGAGAAATATCCAGTCATGAACAGACGTTAGGAAGAGAAGCAAATTCTAGCAGGGAGAGCACAAAAAACCTTTGTCTTTGTCCACACAGTGTCATATTTCAGCTTCTAGCAAAAGATCTAATGTGTCCTTAAATAAGCATAAATAACATAAAGGCTAGGACTGATGAAGCAATGCAAAATGAAAGGAATTTATCGGGACATTAAGAACAAATACCCCCTGACAGTGTAGCACTTCTAGTTGCTGCAATTTTCTTACCCTGCAAACAGAGCTGTCCTTTCTTACTGACAATTTAAATAATAAATTTCCAACTATGCTGCTCGCAGCATCATTCAAAAAGAAAAAAAACAAATATTAACTTACAAAATAACCCATTCTTCATAAGTAATCGTGACAAATAAAAATCTTAAATAAAACAGGTTTCATTATTCCTCTTTCATTCTGGCTCTCCGCACACCTCATTCCAACTTCACATAGCTAGGCATGGAGTAATTGAACATTAAAAAATCAAGTTTGTAGACTTCATACAGCTGTGTTTGGTGTTCTGAGCTGATGTTTTGGAAGAACTCTGTGGTCATTTCATCAGTAGTTCTTGTAGATTTTGCATAGGTGGGAAACTTGAGAAAGTTTCCTACTCCTGCAAGTTGAAGGATGTAGTTGGAATCCTCTTCGAGTGTCTCATATTTCCCTATAAGGTCGTAATGGATATGGCAAGGATGACACAGAGAGTAGACCGTTTGCCAGTGTTCATTGAATGGCTCTTCCCTTTGGGTGTGTGGGTCTATGAGATAAGCCACAAACTCCTCAAATTTCACATCATCTCCTTTATGAAGGGCCTCTTGGGTTGCATTTTTCCTTTGGCGTTTGATGATTTTGGTACCGTATCTCTTGTGAAAGGAAGTGTTGTATTTCTGGGTGAATTTGTTTCGATAGGCTGACACCAATCTCTCAAAAGGCTCACGGACAAAGAGAAATTTCATGTAGTTTTTCAAGCGGTGGTTGATCTCTGGGATGCTGTATTGGTTGAGCGTCTTCAGGTTTGAAGAGACATGAGCTTCGTTAGCCGGTATCTCCATTGGATCGCTGTATTTACCCCTCCCAGTCAAGACCATCATAACTCTCTTCCAATTGGTACAGGCCACTTTGGGTACATAGCAATATATCAATTCATGATCCTCATCAACCACCAAATGTTTGAGATCATTGGGTGTCAGGACACGACGCTTCCTGCTGGACATACTATTGGCTCGGCATGTGTCTGTGACTTGATCCCTTCGAATCTGATGAAGGATTGCAGTGCTGGATAATTCCAACTGTGTAAAGAAAGCATAAATGTGGATAAGTCAGGACAGTTTGGAATCAGCTGCAGACATCTTAGACAGAAATTCAGCACCTACTTCTAATTCTTCACTGCATTACAATTCTCTTTAAAATGCATATGTCATTTTATTAGAGAACTAGTAATTTACATATAATCAGCTATCAGGTGGGAACCTATGACTTTCCAATTGCTACATTAAAATTGTAAGATTTATATATTTTTAGTTACAGACTGCACTTCCCAGATTACAACACCAGTTTTGCAATTTTACTTAGGAAACTTCAGGAAAAAAAGAATTACTTTTTGTTACCTCTGAAATGGAAAAGTGAGATCTAATTTTACATTTCAAACCATAATTTCATTTCAGGTTGTAATTGAAAATTAAATTATGGCTTCTCAATTCAAAGATAACTGGAAACTGATTTGACAAAACTGGGAAGTACTGGATTCTTATCTTTGTCAGTAATATAAATGTTCCAGTGCTCAAAACATGCCAAAACATTCCGGAAGTTGTAACAACATTTTTTGGATGAGTCCAAAAGTCATTATTATTCAGTATTCCCCAAGTGGGTAACTAGATGATTTGGGATATCTCACCAATATATTGTGATGGAGAAAGAAAACCCATTTTAGTTTCCAGTCCCAATTCAAAGTGTAGTTAATTACCTACAAAGCCCTAAATGGTTTAGGTCTTGCTTTTCTTCGCGATCGTATCACCCTTTACGAGCCAGCGTGGGCTCTAAGATCTGCTGAGGAGGTCCTTCTCTCGCTCCCACCTCCGTCACAAGCATGGTCAGTGGGGATGAGAGAGAGAGAAGCGTTTCTCGGTGGTGGCCCTCAGCTCTGGAACTCTCTTCCTAGGGAGAATAAATTAGCCGAACAAACATAATATAGTCTATACAATAGGAGAACTATAATGACCATGTAGCATGTAACAACACAATTCCCAATACAAAGCTCAATACAGTGGAATGAGAATCACAATGAAAAAAAGAGCAACTGCTCTCAAAACAGACAGTGTCTTGGTCTGATATTAGTCCCGACGTATGAAAGCTTCAGAGGAAAAAATCTTCCAAAAAGAAGTGAAGGTCCAAATAGGATGAAAATCCTTCAATATAGGAGTGAAAAAGTCTAGTTGTAGGTACAGTATCGGTGCTACAGGGATGCCCGGGTTTTCTAATACACGGTTTCGGGAAGAGAACTTCCCTTTTCAGGTGATAAAGTGGTCAGCAACTGCGAGTAATGACTCAGGTTTATGTAGACTTTTTCATCGTTCATGCTACACAGTCATTATAGTTCTCCTATTATATAGACTATATTGTGTTTGTTTGCATATTTTACAAGCATTCTGGGACATTGTTTAGGAGATTAAATTAGCCCTCCCCCCACCCCCAGTCCACCTTCTGAAAAGACTTGAAGACTTAGATATTCCAATATGCCTTTGAAGAGTAGTTTAGCTATTGATTAAGTCTGCTTAGCCCAAATTTTCTGGTTGGATCTCCAGCACTTTATTCCCAGCCCCAGCCCTACAGTTTGCATTTGCACAAGCCCTTGTCCTGTCCTATTGGTCTCAAATCTGCACATGCCCACTTATCTCGGCTACTGGTTGTTTGATGTTTGGTTCATGTTTTATGATATCATACATTTTATTGGTTTTATTGTTTTAGTACATTTTATTGTTATATGCTTATAGTTGTGTTACTTTGTAACCTTTGTTTATATTGGGCTTGGTCCCCATGTAAGCTGCCCTGAGTCCCTTCGGGGAGATGGAGGCAGGATATAAGAATAAAGTTGTTGTAGTTGTTGTTGTTATTATTATTATTTGAAACAACAAATGCAATTATAATTGTTGTTGTTATTATTGTTATTTGATACACAACAAGATTAGTACACAGCAAACAAGACACTAAACCAGGACACTAAGATTGTCTGGGGAGGCCCTGCTCTCGGTCCCGCCTGCATCGCAGGCGACCTGGCGGGGACAAGAGACAGGGCCTTCTCAGTGGTGGCCCCTCGGCTGTGGAATGCCCTACCTGCAGACATCAGATTGGCCCCCTCGCTGTTGGCGTTTCGGAGGAAGGTGAAGACCTGGCTATTCGAACAAGCATTTGACTAAACAGTGAAATTGAACATAGGAATATGGAACAATGGATAATGAGAGTGGATTCTGATTTTATTGTTGAGGCGTTATGATTGTTATACTGTTGTTAATTGTTGATGTTATAATCTGTTTTAATTGCATTATACTGTTTTGTGATATTTTGCATTGTTGTGTAAACCGCTTTGAGTCGCCTAAGGGCTGGGAAAAGCGGTATAGAAATAAAGTAAATAAACAAACAAATAAATAAGATCACCTTGCTGGTTTTTGTATTGGATCACACATTGGACACTTCCCAAGTATCTAGGACTGTGTGATGCATCGGCGAATAATGCATGCAGATTCGAGTAGGGTGGCCGTTTGCAGCAGACAGAAGGTAATTTTGTCAGTGCTGATTGTGTTTAAGTGCAGGCCAAGATCTTTAGGTACTGCATCCAGTGTTCCGATCACCACTGGGACCACCTATACTGGCTTGTGCCAGAGTATTATTATTATTATTATTATTATTATTATTATTATTATTATTATTGGAGATACATTGCTTGTGAAGCTGGGGTTTTGGTCTTCATGACTACTATCAGTGGTATTAACTGATCTGCAGAAACAATTATTCCAGCCAGTAAGACTGAAGGATTAAGCTGCAAGGAAAAATTCCTTACCCATTCCTTTTCCACTAAAACATTTCAGAACAATCTGGGACAAAATGTATTTTCATTGCACGTTGCCTGAAACACTGCAAATCCCTTCGTTATATAAAATGAACTTTTTTGCTGCTCATATTAAGGAAGCACCAAACTCAGGCTGACCTTTGCTGCTGGGACGCAGCAGGAGGGCATAAGTTTCCAAAAGGCTTTGGAAATGAACACAGTATGTGCTCTTGCTGCTGATGTCTGTCTCACTCAAGGATGAATCATCTTGTCATCCTCATTGACTGTGACCTTGGCAAGGGAAATAAAATGTGTGGACATTCTTGTTATTCTCAAAGGAGGGCAGGCACGCCAAAATGATGCCTTGAAGGGATTTTGAGTAACCTATGCTGGCTTTTGATGCCATTCAAATCAATAAGAGGCCAAGAGCACACCACCTTTAGCTAGGCTGTTTTTGTGGTTCAACATATAACAAAATGTTCACTTGCATTACTACCGTCTGTTTATTGAGAATTTAGTAGCGTAAATGGTTTGGGTATCTGTTTTACCAGAGTTAACACAATAACAGGATGGGGAGGATTAAGTTCCAGGGACTCAAAAAAACCCTCAGAATCATAACACCAATTGATTTTTTTCTTCATATTTTCACTTAGTAAATAGGGGCAAAAACAGTTAAGCTGGCAAAGAAAACACTAAACCAAACTTCCATTTGCTGTGATTTGGATTTTCCCTTTCCAAAATCAAAACCCCAGAACAAATAGAGCGTAAAATAGATTTGGCACAAGAAATAACATGGCCAGGTATTTCACAAGGCTTTTTTCGACATTTCAATGTTGTTGTCATGGGCCACCTGCTGACCACCAAGGGCCCTCATCAAAAGATCTAGTTTATTAATCATGGCCTCAATGCCATAGGTGACAAGGGACCCTTGCCCATTCGCATTATATCATTGTGGTTCCACTTTAATTGCCATTGCTGCAACTATAGAATTCTGGGTTCTGTAGTTTGGTGAGGCACTAGAGCTTTCCCCTGAACAGCAAACCCTACGATTCCATACAATGGAACCATAGCAGATTAGCAGTTAAAGTAGAATCATATGACTATAACTGTGTACTGTCATCCCTCCACATTTGTGGGTTAAGAAATCACAGATTTGATTATTCATGACAGCTGTATTTACCGTTACCTCTACTGCTTCCCAATGTGCACCCTAAAATATGTAGGCATTTTAAGGTTGTGCAATGTGTCTCTAGTGTCAACATCTGCCAGTCATTAACCATAAAACTGCACTAACAATGCTCAGAGAAGTGTTTTCTCTAGGCATTGTTAGGTACTATGGTGCCCCTAATCCCCACAAATGTGGAATGATTACTATTGGGAATCAGCCTGGGATTTCACATTTTTTTCTCCTTTTCATCAGTTGCCCCAAGACCGTGGAATGTCCTGCCAGAAAAGCCAAATCAACTGTCAGAATTTAAGACACACATCATGAACTAGCTCTCCTGACAGGCCTACCCCGAAAAATTTAACTTGTGAATTTTAACCTGCATTTATTTCATCAGTGGATTTAACATGTATTTTAACTCTGTGCATCTTGTATGTGTTTTAATAGTGTTTTATCTCTTATTTGAATTATGTACCCCACCTGGAACAACTCTGAAAGGCAGATACGAGGATTTAAAGATCGAACTGCAAAGACTATGGCACAAGCCAGTAAAGGTGGTCCCAGTGGTGATTGGTACACTGAGTGCAGTGCCTAAAGACCTTGGCCAGCACTTGAAAACAATTAACACTGACAAAATCACCAATTGTCACCTGCAAGAAGCCACCCTACTCGGATCTGCATGCATTATTCGCCGAAACATCACACAGTCCTAGACACTTGGGAAGTGTCCAATGTGTGATCCAATACAAAAGCCAGCAAGGTGATTTTGTTTGCTGTGTTCTAATCCTGTTGTGTATCAAATAACAACAGCAACAACAACAATTCTTGCTTTTGTTGTTTTCACAATGTCAAAGCATCAATAAACAGTGGTTACCAAGAGTTTGACAGATTTAGAAGGACTGATTTTAGAACACTTTGCAAACATTGAAAAATCTGCAGGGGAAGAGAATTTAAGATCCATTAGGCAGTTATCACAGCTGGTTTCACACATTTTGCTGCCTGAGGCAAAGCTGCAAATGGTGTCCACCCAAGTCAACGTGCGTGGTATCCTAGGCTAATCAACAGATTTGGATCTCAAGGGA